GTCTCCCAAGCATCATCATAGACTGATCGGAAAGAAAACTGGGGTTTTTTGAATAAAATATGATCACATGGTGGGGCACAACCAAAGGCCATGGGATATCGCCACTCACACCGGTGTGATCCGCTGACTTTGTGAAGTCGAGATGGAGCGACCTCTGTACATTTTGGGATCCAAATAACAGGGGTGACCACAGTCCGTTGGCAGCTGTTCGAACCGGATGTGTAGAGCCGATGGTATGATGCCTGTCTGTGTGCTACCAAAGTTCTTTGTATAGGGCCTGCAGGCTGTCCGAGTAGATCTGCTGTTTTTAGATGCTAGAAACTGCCGCATGCAGCAGCGAGGCCCGTAGATCCAAGGCAGCCTTACCGATTCTGCTCGATTTATGTGTTTGCGTGTTGCCGACCCTTCAAAAGGGTGGTGTCTTTCTGCAGCTGTACGCAACTGTCCGGCTTTCTTTTCACCAGCCCTGTACGCATTGCCTAGGTGACTATTCGCAGTTTCTGAGGAATTGCTTTTCCAGATTCCCAGGCCGATGGCCAGAAAGCGCCCGTTTGGGCATTTAAATTGTCTCTGTGTTTGCGTTTGTCAATGCAATATGCGTCTGCTTGTTGGGGTGTGGATGCCGATGAGCGTGTGTTAACTATTTGTCTGTCTGTATGTGTGCATGTGCGCATGGTTGTGCTCTTAATTTATGTGCTGGCTTGCTGTCTTGTATGTCGCGCAGACTTTGTCCGTCCAACGTGAAGACAAGTGTTGTGCAAACGGGCATTTGCCCCGGTCGAACTGCGTGATTCTGGGGATCGCGCACGTGTACACTTTTCCCACTGTCTCGGAGTGGTATCAGGGGTCTTTCTGTCGCTTTGATCGTCTGTACCAGCCATGCTGAGGATTGCCCAGAAGTCGGCTCGTTTGTCGACTTGCTGCCGGCCGACTGATTCCGTCAGTCTGCCAGACTGTAGATTTATTTGTAGGCATCTCAGGAAGCCCGGTGAGAGGTTTAAGACTGCTATCGCGCCTCGCGACAGGCCTCCTACTTCCGTTGACGAGGCGGCGTGTAGTTGTCCTCGTGTACCGGCTGGCATGGAGGCTCCTCATCTCAAATCCACGCTCCGGTGGGCCAACGGCGCGATGCTGCTGCTGGCCGGAATTGTCAGTCGAATTTCCGATTCGCACTTCTACGTTTCTTGGACATGGCTCTGTTGTCCTTCAGCGCGGGCAGAAATGGAACGATTATGACTGAAGGTGATTGACTCAGCCCAGCCTCTCTTTTACAGAGCTCTTGGACACTTTTGCCGTCAGCCCAACGGCCGGGGCAAGGGGTGCCTTAATGTGTCAGTCAGCAAATAAATTCATATTTAAAACGGCCTGAAAATCTACCTCCATTTCACCCTTCCCGAAGACACACGGGCCGTTCAGCTACTAGACGCATTAGCAAATAATCGTAAATATGCACGCATGTATACATACGCATGTGCGCATACAGACGTGAATGTATATATTGGTCTGTGCATGTGTGCTGGCATGTGCTTTATTCTGTGTTATGTATATGTATATATATATATATATAAGTATATATATATATATATATGTACTTATGTCCGGTCAGACCATAAATCACCGGTTTTGTTTGGCATTTGGGTCAAATCGAGCAGATTATGTGTTGAGTGCATGGCTTCAGGAGTCGGATTCGCCCGCTTACGGCAGGTGGGGAGGTGAACAAATTGGTCGGAGGAAGGGGTCAAGCTGTGCTCCACTCGCCGAGGAAGGGACTGCCTACCCATTTGTGTGTGTCCAAGTCGAAATGAGACAAACAGCCTGGGCGTCAGTTACTTAC